AATAACACTTTAAAATATAAAAATATAAAAGCTGAAACAAATATTTGGTTCAATTCTTCGGTTGTCAAACCAAAAGGAACGTTTAATAATAATTCCTACAAACACCCATCTTAAGGCCAGAGCTCATTTAATCACTATCAAGATTCTCAACGCTTAAAAACAAGGTGTCATCCGACTTGCAGCAAGCACACAAAAAATACACGTGGAGCAAGACGACTCAAATTTTGTATACAGGTGTGATACCTAACAAGTGGAAGCATTTTCTCATGACGACTGCTGTTGCCTCACACAACAAGAGTCGACTAGTCTCCTCTGCTGAGCCAACAACCTGCATTGATTTCAAACAAGAGGTTGAAAAGACTAGTAAACACAATCCAAAAGACGTGCAATTGTTTTGTTAAAGCCCTTTCATCATGGGGTAATTAGAATCCAGGCAGTGGACGTATAAAAGTTGTAAGCAGCAAAATATGTGACAATACAAATTTTTCTTAGTCGTAGAATTCTAATCAAGCAAATGCCACTCAGCAAATGCCTTTGTCACATAAAGCCTCGAATTATTAATTCAAGACTTGGGAAATCAAGAATACAGCTAACATATGGGAGATGGAACTTAAAGAGAGCATACTTCAACAAGTGGCACTCAAACCATTTGATAGGAGAACAATCTCAAAAAATTCCCTTCCCCATCGCAATAACTCCATTCCAGATTAATATACAGCAGTTATGCACTACAGCCTTAGCAAAACTGATTTTAGGAAAACAAGATGAACTTTGAGCCTTCCAGACTCATTGGAGTTAACTATCATCAAGGCACATCTTCTCGTTCAGTTTCTGAACTTGGAATTAGATTTCTCATTTAAACCATTTCATTTCGATATGCACATAAATAGCTCAAGCCAGCAAGCAACATACCTACCCTTTCTTCTCAAGCAACCCTCATAATCATCATTACGAAAGAGAAAAGGACTTCAATTATTATCTTAAATATTTGTACTTCAATTTTTGGTGAAATATAAATTTAAGCTTCATACCTGACAGTTGGTATAAAATCTCGTGAAGTCTTCGGATAAATTGTATAAGTATTCACACAACACATTCGGCAACAGATTGGTGCACGCTTCTTCAACAATCTGCGAAGAGTGGAAGGAAATCAAAACCCAAAATAATACAATGAAGTAAATATAAGAAAATGTCAATGCATCCAAGGGATTGCAACATGTTTAGACACGGTTATATCTCCCGGGAAAGTTATTACCTCAGCAAACTGGAGCAAATGAAGTCCTAATACACGTTCATCGGGATGAGCCAACTCTAAAGTTCCAACCTATCACAAATATAATCAACAATTTGTTCAAATTGTAAAATAAAAAGAACTGTGAACTTTGAATGCATTTAGCTAAGCTTTAAAAGTTCAGTTACGAGTAAATACGTTTGTTTTAAATAATTAAATTCTGTTGGTAAGATATTGGAAACAAGTATGTAACTTATTTTGACTATAAGATTTACCTTCAAAATAATAAACTCCCATCTTTTTACTTAAAACTAAGAAAAACGCAAGTTATTCAAACTTGTGTGAATCGACATAATTTATTTTCTAAGCTCAGTTAAACATGATTGCTGAATATGCTCACAGCTGCCACTAACATATTTGCTAAAAAAATTCAAGCTAAAAATTGGAGGCACTCTTAGGCCAGTAATGAGAAGCCAAGCATATCGTCAAAAGTTCAGGTCAAGTTTGAATACAAAATAATGATCAAGTACCCTCCTAGTAAAAGACCAAATTGAAATTTGAAGACAAGTTAAATTGATCGAATTTGGAAATTGTTCTTTACTGGGAATTATTATTTTATTTCACAATTTAGAATAATGCATATTAAGACCTAAATGAATAAAAGGCATAATATTTTAACCTTTGACAAATCATTTGGCCTATGGTTGGCCCCCATTTATTCTCAAAAATTCATTTTTTCAAAACTCATTTTCTACCACACATTCTTCCATAAAATAATTTTACACATAAATCGAAAACTTCTCTTCTTTTTCAACCACACATTCTCCAAAAAATTACTGTTCCAAAATGGGGCTCAAACAGGGGCTTAGTATATAACACATTGAAAAATATAGATAGGAAACTATTTATATAGCCTCAGTTTCAGTTAGCTAAAAGCCAGATTTTCATTAGATTTTAATAAAAATTATTGACGTGTGGTTTAAAAGTTGATAAAAGTTGTAAATCACACGGAATGGGTGGTTGAAAATAAATTTTGAGTAAAAATGAGTTTCAGAAGAGAAGAGCCAAACATGGGCATATTGTAGTTTTTACAAAACTTCAAGGACGGTATCCTACCTTTTTCAATTCTTCTACATCTTTACCCGATCTCCTTATAATTGAGCATATTCGAGCATGTGCATACAGCAGATACACAGCAGTATTTCCCTGCACATAAAAGAAAAGGCAATCAGGTGTAAAAATTGAAGATTACTCAATAGATAATACTAGTACGCCCAAAAATTAAAAAAGAGGCTAACTGGGGAAGGAAATAGGGAACACTCAGTCGAGGCACTATGATAAAGGGAATTAGGGGGATATAGAACTACATTGATATAAAATACTTTATTACAGCAAAGGACTGGCCATCGAGATTAATATGATCCTATACCAAGTACCCAACTTCGTATAACAAGGCATAGACTAAAAGTTGTTCCTTACATATTTTCTTCCCATTATATAACGCATTATATTCTGTGAACCCACCTTATCACTAAGCATCTGATCAAAATTAAAGGTGTAATTGGTAGTTCTGTTATTCTTGAGGTCAGCATATCTGTTCAATATCCGACAAAAATAAATTAGTTCAGATGACAGTAAAAAAAGTAAGCAAACAAATATGAGCACACCATCTTCAAACCAACATGCTATGTATATGCTCACATGCCTGTGTATATGCGGAACCTAATCTAAATCCACAACTTAGATCCAGAACAACCAGATAAGTTTTCGATCCTTCCACCAAGCTTATTTTCTATGAATAGCTAAAAGTTTCTCGCACTGAAAAATAAATACGGTAGGTTTGCTTCACTTATCTCAAACTGGAAATAAATCCCAGATCACATGCTAACAGATACATGATCCTTGTACCAAGATATTGTGTTTATTGCACCAATTAGTAAGTTAGGTTTTCTGCACCCCAATTAAACTGGAGATGTCAAAAAATCAAGAAAACAGGCATGCAAGGGCACGAAACCTACTTTACGGCACCATATCCAACTGCTTCTGCAGTTCTATCAAGCTCCTCCTCGGTCCACTCATCAGCCTTACCTGGTCATAAAATGAAAAGCATACATGACATGACATTCAGATCCAAAAAATTGAAATCAGTCATTAGCAGCCCCACTAAAATCACATATGAATGGATAGTTGGCAAAAAACTGATTTTCTACTGATTGCATAATCGTTGGAGTGCAGACAACAAATGCAAGGATTTTCCGGAAGCAACTATTATTTTACCTCTTTCGATTAAAACTGTTTTGCATCGACTTTTGGCTTCATCAAGTAAATCGACCAATTTGACAGTTTCAGTACTGCGAGTGCGGAATCGCTTTCCATCTTCTCCTAAAACAAGCCCAAATCCTACATGGCTAGCTTTGGGATACTTATTATCTTCAGCTGGAAGCCAACCAGCTCGTTTGGCAGCCTGAAAGAAAATTGAAGGAAGGGGTATTTAGACTTGAAACTTAACAGCGCATATGATTAAAAGGTGGTAAATAAAGGTTGATGCACCATGTAGTCATGGAGTAAGACAACAACGTCATAACTTACCGTAAAGACCATTTCAAAATGCTCTCGCTGGCCAACATCAGTTACATATATAATCCACTCCGCCTTTTCTTCATTAAGTCGATACCTTTAAATTGCATATGAGCAGAAACACCATATAGAATGCAGTTAAGTTTTGAAATCAGTCACATAATTGCCATTTGGTTGAGTTATAACATCTTATCAGTTTTAGAAGATATCAGCATAACCACTGACCAATTCTTTATATGTAGATGTAAAAGAATTTTCTGACAGTTAAATTAATCCCATTGGGTAATTTAGAGAATGCTGTAAGATAAACTGACACAGACAACTAGAGAGAATCTTCATGAATGGATGACGAAATATGCATCCAATAATAAACACATAAAGTTCAGAACTAACCATAATGCAGCAAGATCAGTTGAAGCGTAGTTGTAACCACCATCCCTCTTCACGACAATAAGAGGAATATTTTTCCCTTCAATAAAGATAACACGAGCTCCTTCGCTTTCTTCAATTAATCCATGTTTGCTCAACAACTCTAAAGCCCCCGGAATATATGGATTGTAAAAACTTTCTCCCTGAAAAAATTGAAAACTTAAATAAGTACCGCTGCATACCCAGTAAAAAAAAGTTGAATATCAAAAACATCATATAATATTTCACCTTCACGGGGGCATAAAGAAATAGTGTTAGATACCATATCATCTTCAGTCAGCTGTGTGATCCAGATGTTAATTAAACCTTCTTGGATCTCCAAAATTTCATTCAAAACTAAGGCAACAAATATTGTTTCACTCGACCAGAAACAAGGTCTAGGCAATTAGGAAATGTTAAGTTTTCAGGAGGCAATTGACATGTTCAAAAAATAGTTTACTTAACACTGAAATAATCCTGCACAAAGTATGCTCATTATACAACAAAATGCATTATTGCATTTTTTTTTGCTTATTTCAGTGTGATTGGACCTTTCTAAACAATATTTACCACAAGCTTTACAATAAACCTTCACAAGGTAGTAAGAAAAATTCGCCACCTTTTCCTCTAACTCTACTCCAAGTCGCTCATAAACCCTTTCATACCCCCTTCTACTGATTTCACAAATTTGTGTCCATGCTGTCCGATACCTCTTTTCTCCACCCTGTAATATGGATAAGGTCAGAGAATCATGTAATGAGATAAATGGAGACTTCCATGCAACTAGATGATGTTCCGCCTTTATGGTAGAAAAATGTTTAAAGTCTTATTACCAACGGTTATTTATGCGGGATGTTTCGGCTAGGAAGAAAGTAATAATAATGAGTCACAACTCTCAAGTCCTTAAGGTATCGAGTTATTCACCTGAAGACTGACCACAGCCTGTTGGGCCCTCTCCTTAAATGCAGGATCACTGTCAAATCTCTGCTTCGATGCCTTGTAAAACGCCTGAAAAGCCGCACTTGAATAAAAAGGAGAACCATTGTGCATCCTACTTTATAAAAATCTTTTTCCCAATGAAATGAAATAACTAGATTTATCCTTCCAAGTATGCTTACACAGATGACAGAGAAAATAAACGTTAATAACACCAAAATAAAAGTTCTTTCTTGTGCTTTAAACCTAGCCACAAAGGAAAAAGGAGGCCTTAATTTCTGATTGACATCGTGATCCCATGGTGTTTAAATCTCAATAAACAGAGAAAAGAACATCAAATGAACATGAGACATTCCAATAACAGACTAGCTTTTTGACATCTGTTTTTCGCTGAATAATCAGTGTTTGCCCTGTCTCATTGTCAATGGTTTATGTTGGCTCACATAACAAATCACAGTGAACCTTTAACTTAACTTCAATGCCTAACTTTTGAGTAACATATAATGCTCTATCAATTAATAAATAATTGAGAGTTGAGACCAAGACAGTAGATGTAATCTAACCAATTAATGTAGAAAAATTTGACATAACAGCCAAAGAGAATGGTCTTTCCACTCTCCTACTACACTGATTTGCTTAAACAAGAGTCATTAGTCATTACAATTTTTTTCAAAAACACGGCATCTCACAAATCAAAACCGAAAGCTAAATGCTACAATTTATTCGATAAGTGTAATGCACCGAATTATTTAAGTACTCAATCTTCCATCTGAAATGCTACTTGGCAGGGCACAGAAAACGTATTCTTCTATTCAAGTGATAATAACAAATCATTACAGAAGTCTTATTCCTTACAAAAGTCTTGTTTTTTTTTTTTTTAAATCAAGGATAAATTGATATATAGAGTGATTCTACTTTATTACTCATGTCACAATAAAAAAAGTAGTGCTAAATGGTGCTACCACTCACCATCTATGATATGACAAAAATGATGTACTTTAACAAATTTCAAACTCAAATTGAAGAAAGAATGAACGTAAAACATGGGATCTCAAATGACCAGATAGTGTTCAAAATTTCTTCTCTTACCTCCAGATCTCCAATGGCTTGATCATTAACTTGCCCATTTGGAAACATTTCGAAAAGGTATTCGATTAGCATACCAAACTGCAAAACATATAATTTAGACACTTGATAGGAAAACATATTTTACATCAGTCAAGAATCCAAGATAAAACTGTGTAACTATAAATTTCTAGATAACTTACAAAGGTATCCAACAAGGCAAAAGTAAATGCTGTTGAGTATTAGCTCATTCCAATGGGAAAAAAAAAAGGAAAGAAAGAAATAAAAATGACATTGTTTTGAGTTCTAAATTTGATAAAATACTTGGATCGATCGAAACTAAACTATTGAATGGAGCAATCAAGTATAAGACTCAGAGAAAGCTTAAAAATAAATAAATAATAGAAGGTATCAATCACTATTGCTCCAAGAGAAAAGAAACAATAAATATTAGCAAGGAACAAAATTTATGTTTTCTTTCACACCTTGAATTAGTGCAGGTAAACCAAAAGTAAACAGAGTACCTAATAAAAAGGAAAGTACGACAATACCCAGATAAATATGGCATGCCACGTCTATATTTGCCCACAACAGAGCAATAAGCAGAAAAAAGACATCTACCTGTGTGCCCCAGTCACCAACATGGTTTCTCCGTAGAACATTAACATTTGAGTATTCCAGCATACGTGCCAGTGTATCTCCAATGATAGTGGATCTCAAGTGCCCGACATGCATTTCTTTTGCTATATTTGGTGACGAGAAGTCAACCACTGCCCTTTTGACGGGAAGCTTAGGAGACCATGTTTCAATACCATTGACTAGCATCCTTTGAATACTCTGTATAGTTTTAGGTAAGGTTTTCATAAACAAGAATGATAAATAGAAATGTTCAACCAAAAAGAGAGGAGTTTGAAAAACCAATCACCTTTGCTATCCATTTCTGAGACAATACAACATTTACAAAGCCGGGTCCAGCTATTGAGCACGAGTCTATAATTTCAGATGAAGGAAGATTTTTGATAATGGCCTAAAAATGTAAATGTAACTAATAAATACTTGATGTTATCAATTTAAGACATATGGCATGATATAACAACCACAAAGTTTTTCCTGTCAATATAACATGATATAGATATAGCAAATATAATCATCAATACCTGTCCTATTGGTTGGGGGCCTTTGAACTGTGTACCCTTGCCTTTAACCTTTGACCACAAGCCCATTGCATTGTTGCTACCAACAAGAAAGTGTTGTGCTATTAGTAAGCAGTTATTATAAGGTCATGTAATGGTATGTACTCCAATACAAAAAGAACGAGCATACCATTGGTAGTCACCAAATTTAGGATTTTGGCACGGAGCAATTGCAGGCTCTACATCCAACTCGTCAGGGACAGTTAATCTTAACGATTCTTCAAATATCTTCGCTATTTGTTGCTTGAGACTCCCAACATTCTCTTGATCCAGGTCAACAACATGCTGGATCAGAACCAAAGACGTGAGCAGCAGATATAAAGCATATTTGCATATCATTCATTTGTCAAATAATATGGTTTTACAACGTGTTTTTATGCAACTCACATTAGCCATATTTGATAGAGACTGTGCCTTTGCGACAATAAAAAGTCTTCGAGATGTTGCTCTAAGAATACCTGTCTAGTTTCATCGCAACCACAAAAAAAATTATCAAAAGTACAAAAAGCAAAGCAAGGCCAGGGATAACAAATAAATAAAATGTAGCAGCAGCACCTATAAGTCTCCCGATGTAGTTTTTTAATTAAAGAAGATTCAATATCTAAAAACTATAACACTGATCGGTAAAGCCAAATAAGCAGTCGAGCTCCCTTATGCACTATTCCCATATTATTACCGTCAAAAGTACTTATTTTTCCTACAATCCCCTTGTGCAATATGACGAAATTACAAGCTCGAGAGTATTAATATAAATTAGAACCTCTGGAGTTAATATACAGATACAAAATATAAGCCACACGGTGAATTATTTATTCATGCCAAAATGTAGAAACTGTTCTCAATTCTAACACTTAGAGAAGACAATACCGCACCCAAATCCACAAAATATTGAGTTCAGGAAAACAGAAGTTATGTTAGTTCACAATGGAAAAAATGGCCAAATCAGGCAACAAATGCAAACGAGAAAAGAAACGTTTGAAAAACGACATCGCATCACACGTGCAAATGCTTTATAAAGAGAGAGTGCTTACGAGTTGTGGATGAAAGAGAGGAGCGTGAGTAGAAGAGAGAGAAACGATTCAATTGCAGAGGAGAGAGAACCGGCGGAAGCAAATTACCCAAATGTGAAGAATTCATCACAAAAATCAATTAAAAAAAACCCTAATTCTTTTCCACAACGCGAGCGTGTTTCTTGTATGGACTGCGTGGCTAGCCCAGCTCTTCGTTTTGGGTTTTGGGGATTGTGCTAATGTTAGCATTACAATTCTTTTTTTTTTTCTTTTGAATATGAATATTGTCCCAGTCTGACACAATTTTTAAAATTTATTTTTAATCGCAGATGAAATTCATAATTTTTATTAAATTTTTAAACATACATTTCAATTTTTTTAATGAAATATATTAAAAATCTTTTTTTTTAGTTAAACCAAACAGGGATATGTAACCCAATTTTTTTTTATTTTACTTTTCGATTTTCGCCGGTTAATTTCAAAGGTCTATTTTTGAAGTAATTTTTTTTTTTTTAAATAATCGTAGTCTTTCAAATTTATAATGATTGCACTAATTATCACTCGGTTGAAATGTTAATCTATGAATCACTCATAATCATAAATTTCAACATGGATAAATTTATAATAGTAACTTTTTTTTTATAATTGTACTCACTCAAATTTAAATGTTAACATTGTCCATTTGCATGATATATTTCGACAATAGGATCTCATATAGTGATGCATAAGTGATACAATCCTCTCGCAAGACGAGACGAGCCATATGCGATCAATGAATTCGCATGGCGAGACATAGGCTATGCAACCCTCTCGCATAACAAAAAAATCAAGAGTCTTTAATAATTAGAAAATCACGAGCTAAGGCTCATCTTTATAATTAAAAAATCACGAGCCAATCCTTAAGTGCAATGGCTTATATACTCTCGCCTTCAATAATAAGTAAACTATGAGCTAGCCTCTAGATGCAAGGACTCGTAAGCTCACTTTCAATGATGAGAAAACCGTAGCTAGTCTTGACGTACGAAGGCTCCTTGGCCTGCTTCAATAATATTAAGGTTGTGTTTGAAACCCATTTTAAAGATAATAGAATTTTTGGAATAGTGATTGATGGAAAAATATGTGATGGAAAAGTGATGAAATATTTTAGATTTGTGTGTAATATTATTTTATTTGGAAAATGTGTGGTTGAAATAAACAAAGAGAAAAAAAAAAGAATAAGAATGGGTGCCAAACAGGGACTAAAATTACGAGGTAGTAAGGAAACGATTGAAAAAACCCCGTCTAAATTTTTTTATGAATCAACAAAGACCATCTTACATGAATACAGCGAGTTCCAAGCACTAGTCACAAGATGAGTGCAAGATGCATGTGCTTAGAAGTCAAGTGCAAAGCACAGAAACATTAAATCTGATGGTTATATTCTGTGTTTGTCATTGCAAGAAAGAAACACATTGCAAAATGCCAATGTAGGAAACTTCGAGAGTAGGTCTAATTTTCTCCCCTTTTGATCAAAACCTTGATGTCACGTGCTAAAAAATCATCCGGTAGGAAGGAAAGAAAAATGCAGCTTGCTGACAATTGAGCTGTATTTAACACGTTAACAAGTTGTTTCGTATCATGGAAAAACATACACACAAAGTCCCATAAACGCTTGCAGTGCGTGATTGGTATACAATATGAGATAAAACTAGATAATATAATGAAGAAGAGATTAGCTTCTTATCTATCTTAGTACTCTTCAGTACTATCTAGTCCTCCATAACAAGCATGCTAGCAGTATCGTGTCAATAGACATAAGACAGACCACAATTAACTTCTTCAGCTACAAAGGTTTGGCATACATACCCCGGCATCAGAATTTTGTTGTTCTTTCCATATTCTCCCAGTCACTCTAAGCTTCAGCTCCTTCCTGTCCCCGCAAGAGAAAAAGAGTGCCATGTTTCTTTGCATTATAAGACCATCATGACTGTCCCTGACCTTCCGGTGGCTATCTCGAATGCTACGAGGCGTACCCTCCCATATGAGCTTTCGGCCATTTGCTCCGACCTCCAAACTGTAGCTATAGTTGCGAGCCTCAACCTCATCACCCATAAAACGGACAAACGCCATATACACAGGAGCCATGCCAAGCTGGAATGCTTCGAAATGAAGGCAGAAATATTGACCAAAGCAATGGAAAACCTAATGAAACAAACACCAGAGACAAGATGACCTAACTAATTATTGTGCTTTCAAGAAGCAATAGTTATGTTGTATCGAAATGCCAAAAACAGCTGTGGCACCAATGTTGTTACATCAAAACATAAACAACATGACAGCACAAAGTTTGGTGCACTCTGTATCTTCTATTTATCATTTATCTTGTGCTAAGTTCAGTACTGAACTAGAAATGGAAAAACAGGAAATGCACTTTAGATGTGATCATTTTTTATGAGATGGTACAGACTCCGTGAAGTAATCAGAGTATATAATCACGCTAAAGTTAAGCAGCACCACTAAAGAGCAGGAGAGGGAGAGGGAGAGAGAGAGAGAGAGAGAGAACTGATAGCAAAAAGAAAGGATGGGTGGGCATTATTATAAGAGGAAATTATATTCTATACTTAATTAACAGGTCCTTGCTAACACATTGTAAGCCTTTGAATACAACATTCAAAAACATGTGCAAACATCAAAGGCATGATATAAAATTTAGAATTTGTGTGGATAACAAATCCTCAGCTAGCCACAAATAAATGCATATACTATATATGAATGATAACAACTAGAAGATCATAATATTCATATTGTGACATGAAAAATCCAAGAGCACGAGAAGAAACTTACTGTTAACATCCATGTGGCATTTTCTACTTCACGAGGATTTGACTTTACATAGCGGTGATTAAATGTACATCCTGAGTGCATGTCCACTTTGTGATCATCTCTTAAATGGGCAACCAGACAAGGAATGTCACCAGTAACTGAGCACTCTGATCCAGCATACGGACAATTGTACGGTCTGAAATTGCAAACTGCCTCGTGTTTAGGTTTGCTGTAATAGGGAAATATTTCTGGGCATCCCAAAGAACAGTGCTTGCATGGCAGCTCGAGTGACTCAGCTACCTTCTCTAGTGCTAAGCACCTAATATCTCCCAGCTCTTGTCTGCATGTAGGACATCGGTTGTGCACCTTTGTCTTACAATTGGAGCAGATAGTGTGCCCATTGTGACACTACAAAAGATTAAATTGTAAATCGACCATTGATTATCCAGCACTTCTGAAAATGCAAGGAAAAGTTTTGTACAACATCAAACATGTAATAATAATACACAAAGATTTTCAGACTTGTACAATAGAGAAGACATGCCAAAAGAGTTCAGGCTCCCTTATCTACTGTAATGATTTGCACCAAAAGTCACTCATGAAAGTGACTCTTGCTAACAAGCCATTCCCTATGGGTGCATGCATGAGATTTATCAATAATGGACCACTTCAGAAATATTTTTAAATGCAAGACGCATGAATAATTGATTCCATGTTATGTTATGATATACGTTGAATGCATGGTGTAATGGAGGCCAAACTTAACAAATCATTTTGACAATCCTCACTAGATTAGTCGAGATATACAACAAACTTCAAGACGATTGAGTTTTCACAGAAAACCCCCTTGTCTAATTTCCCCACAAAGCCGAAACTATCACAAAAGGTCTATCAGCCTCAACAGTCCTACAAATGTTATTTTTAGAACATTACGAGCCTCCAATTTTTTTTTTTAAACAAAGAAAAGAACAAATTGATTTTCTGACCAGTTCAATAGTTCTTTTTAGAACTCTTCAACAATAACTACAACAAATTGAAATTATGAAGTCATCGAACTCCAAGCAATCGGTAGACATTTCAAACAGTGCAATAGAATAACTTTGTCAATATCTCCAGTACCCATTTCATCCCGATCTATTGCATTATGCAGCCAATACTCTAATATTAGTTCTTAAAAACCAAAACAATACCAGCATTCAGCCTTATCTATACCTTTTAAGGAATGTTCCATTTGCAGTATTAGAGAGGATTTGACATTTCAATAGACAAGGTGTGAGATTCTTATTCTTTCTAAAACTGTCGTATACTATCGGATCCACCTCAAAAAACAAAAAAAATGCTCTAAGGTTCTTAAGAAAACATAGAACGAATTTCATTTTCAACCAATAGAGCAATATTTCACAAGTTACATTGACAACATCATTCCTATATTTTCGATGACTTAACACAAAAATAAGAAAACCATGATAACATACCAACAAATACTCCGATTTTCATAGTACAAAGGTCTAGAACAGCTAACAAAGCCCCAATCTATTAAATCCAAATGAATTTAACAACTCAAAGCGTACTCAATATAAAAAAAAATTCCCAAATTGACCTCCAACAAAATCTAACCATTCACCCATAATACCATCAAAACATCAATTTTTGTTCCCACATCCCCACCCCACAATTACATGCATAAATCTACACATATTTCTCATAAAATGCATAGCCATCTACCACAAAAAATCCAAAAAAAAAAAAAAAGAAATCGAAAGGAGGGAGGGAGAATACCTGATGAATTGGAGGGTACATAGAATTGGTGCAAACCGGGCATTCAAGCAATTCATGGACGCTTGTGGGACCGATTCCAGAGAAAAGTATATTGTGAGGCTTTGAAGAGTATTGAATAGGATGATGAGAAGAAACTGATGACTGGATATCTTCATCTTCAATTCCATCTGATGAAGATACACACTCCACGCTATCCATTTCAAATGTTGCCATTTCGGAACAATCTCAAATTCCCACTTTCACAAATCTCAGATGCCCAAACCCAAAAACCCGATCTTTTGCGGAAATTCAAATGCCCAATTCGAGAAATCCGCTCTTCTGCAAAAATGTAGAAGCTCGCTATCAAAAGTCCAATCTTATGACCAAATCTTAATCGCCCAGTTCCAAAAATCCAATCTTATGCAAAAATCTCAGATGCCCACCCTCAAAAGTTCAATCTTATGCATGAAAATGCAATGCCCACTTGGTAAAATTCGATATTTCACAAGAATCTCAATAATCCACTTCCAAATATTTAATCTTCTACAAAATTATCGGATGCCCACTTTGTCTCTTCCATAAATGCCTAATACCAGACATTTAATTTTATTCAATTCGTCTATTTCTGCTTTTTTCCTTGATATAATTTGGTTTCTTCTCGTAGAGAGCATACATATTAGATAAGAAGAAACAAAAGGATTTCAAGAAAAAATTGGAGAAAAAAGCAGAATGGGGGAAGAGAGATTAACACGGTTCGATTCAAAAGAATCAAACAGCGTATTTTCGCAAAAAGAGGTTCTTTTATTCTTCTTCTCTCTCTCTAGTTCATGTGAGGAGAGAGAGAGAAATGAGGATCACCGCTGATTTTACAAATAATTGGAATTAGGATCGTAATCCAACGGTCATAAGATAATAATGTCACGTATTTGTTCGTTGAGAAATATGCACTTCTGTCAATGTCAACTTTTATTTTAGGGAAAAATACAGTGTAGGTCCCAAACCTTTCATTTTGCTGTAAATTACGTCCTAATCTTTCATTTTTACAGTTGCAATCCCAAACTTTTATATTTAACTACATTCATGGTCCAAATCATTGATTCCGTCCATAATGCCATTAGTCAACAAAACTCAAGTGGACAAAATAAATTAGGGGCAAAATAAAAGTTTTGAGACTGCGGCCGTAAAAATGAAAGGTTATGGTATAATCTACAACAAAATGAAATGTTTGAAACCTTTGCTGCAATTTTCCCTTTATTTTATGTTAATTATTCTAAGAATAGTTGATGAAAATGAGGAGGAACCGTGTTTGGTGGTCATTTTTTTGAAAAAAAAATTATTGTTTTAAATTTTGACTTTTTAAAAAATGTGTAGTTAAAAATTAGGAAATAATTTTAAATTTACGTATAGAATATTTTATTGTGTAAATATTTTGTTGAAAATGAGTATTTAGAAAGAAAAAAGCTATAAAAGAATGAGAGATAAATAAGAGCCGATAATTTGTTGAGATTAAAAAGTTCAACGAAAATTTTTGAGCAAGGTGCAAACCGTTTAAAAATTTGCTACAAGATTTCATATCTTTTAAATAAATACCAGTGAGCGCACGTGCAAAACACGTGCCTTAGTGTAATTGGCTACGTAATAGTATTGGTTGATTTTCTATTATTTTTTGAAGACATCACTAATTAAATCTTATTTAGCAAAACTTCTTTAATAAAATTTGCAAGTTAAAACGAAAAATAAGTGGCAAAAAAAATAAATGAAATTCAGTATTTGGCAAAATTATTACTAGGAAATAATTCAGTAATAATTTCGGAAAGCGTCACATGTATTACAAAGAGTTTTGCTCCTTTTATATTGTAGTGATGAAATATAGAAAAAGAATTTCACATACATCTTATTACAATATAGTTATCAATTATAACATAATCTAATTAAAGAAAGAAAGAGAAATCCTCTCGAATGTATTCATCTTATTTCATTTCTCTCCACAATCTTTTGGAGAATTTTAGGCTAATAAAGAATATGTATTATGTATCTCAATGTAAAAAAAAAAAAAAGGTACGCGCACGGAGACTCCATGTCTTTGTGAGGCATGGAGACACCGCAAAATGCCCCACTTCCCCACACCTGTAACATGAATTATCCCATCCAGTAACAGTTGTATCCCCGTGGGACCCTGTATAAGCCTGCATAAATAAGAAAAACAAACTAAATGATCAGGCAATAGAGGTTGCAAGGAACCTCGCGAATCAAACAGCAAGCGAAATGAAATTGAAGATGCTTACATTGCCAAAGATTCTACTTCCTTTAAGTCGGTCCCTTGCTACACTTGAAGTGGTGCTCCTGATCGTCGAGATTGTGACATGAGATATATAGAACACCATCCACTCATGTAAAGACAACATCCCATGCAAATTAGTGGGATGTGTTCAACATTCCTAGTGTAATGATATGTATATCAAGAAGGATAACTACTCGGAATGAGCAAGGAATGCAGCTAAACAAGACGTATCTTGTAGTCAATTCTCAAACCCATCTCCCCAGCCCCCCAGTTACAATCATCTCCTCAAAAGATCAAAATTCATAAAGAAAACTGGCACTGCTGGCACAAGAGCTCCTGAACTGTCCTTGAGAATATTAAAATTTCTTTAGATCCTACTCTAAATTGACAATATACAGAAAGTGGTAAGAGTACGTAACTTGATATTTTAGTGACTGTTACTCACAAAGCATATCGAACAAGAACATAAAAGTTAACTATAGTTTCAGCCTAAAACTAATACTATAAATGTATTAAGTGCTGAATAAGTGTATACTGCATTAAGTGCTTGTTTGGGAGAAATTATAATGGGATTATAACGAAAAGGATATTCGGTCCCACGAAATGTGTGATAATAAGTAGGCATTAGGTGTGAATGTGTAGATATAATCAATGTTTAAATTTGACTTCAAATTATAATTTCTCCCAAACAAGTACTAACTTTCAGCTCTAAATGTTCTATCTTCCAAATAAATCAGCGACATAAAGAACTAAACCAATAACATCATGTAAACTCACCAAACTAGTATGGCCCAATAGACCACATCGATAATAGGAGACATCTCTTGGTGCGAGATCAGTATAATTTACACAACACATATGACCGAACTTTTGGCAAACGTAACACTGCTTTTCCTGCAAAGATCAAAAGGAATGGTGAAAAAATTAAACATAATATGTTGAACAATAAAATCAAGGAGCATACTCATACATATTCAGCAACGCTTAAACATCCCCGAGAACTGTAAAATATACAATCGATACAAATTCAAACAACAGAAGATTCACAAACCTTGAGATCATCGGGAGAATAGTCATTCCTACATGAAAACATATCTATGACCAGACTCTTCACATTTTAAACACATCTTAGAACTCCAGGACTCCGATCTATTTTTCTCAAGGCAATATTTTGCACGATGACCCTGTTGTTTGAAGATGAAGCAATCTTGTCCCTGTTTAATTAAGAAAGAAAGAACAGAAAATTAAAATCTAGAGGAAGCCTTGTACAGGACAAAAATATAATAAATACCAGCAAAGCAGACAACATAAAAAACATGAGATATTCATGTTCAGAACATTAGATAAAACTTACTTGAAACACCAATAGGACAAATGTAAATGGAGAAACAAGGAATAACAGCAATGCAGACGCCAGAAGCAGAAGAAGAATAAGGCAGAAACAAAGTATTTTTGGAACTCATTCATAAATTTGAACTCATCCATAGCCACTAAAATATTGTAATTTATTCGCCATAAACCAAGTTTCTCTCTCCCTTTAAATACTCATTCGAAAATTAGATAAAGCGAAAAAAAAATCTCCGTATGACATGGAGACACCTGGGTTTTTTGTTTTGTTTTTCATTTTGAGTCAAAATTCACAGAAACAGAAACACGAAAGTGTCGCCATGTCTATCTGTCAGTGTCTCCTAGCCTGTAAATTTAAGGGAGAAAGAATATACCTTTCAGGCGTCGACGGCACTTAGCACGGAGGCAGTGGCGAACAGACAACAATAGAGACCATAACTGTTGGTAGCATCGGTTAGAGATTTAAATCAATTAGGACAGACATTGGATGCTTAAGCCCGAAAAATCTAGGGAATACTAGTTATGAAAACAAATAGCTTAAACGACGTCGTTTTGGTTGACGATAGGAAAATCCGACATGTGGCAAAAAAAATGCCTCTTTTATATTGGAAGGAAATGTGCATCAAAAGATCTTTGGATGATGTTAGTCCATTAGTTGACCAAAAGTAAATCATAAGACCTTAATTTAACAAATTTTAACAAAGCCAAAATAGCTATTCCACATTTTTCATTTTAAACAATTAGGAGAAATTAGATAAAAATGAATAAAAGCAAAAATTATTATAAATAAAAGAAAACAAGTCATCTATGCAATAAAATTTTCCACCACCCAACCGTCACCAGTAGACCACCTAGGGGTGTCAATGGGCCAAGCACATGCCCGCTTGACCCATGAGCTCACGAGTTCGCCCGTGAGCCCTATTTTTATGTAGTTTTGGTTTTAAAAATCATTATCACTTTTTAAAGTTCGGGACCAACTACTTATTTTTTGTGTCAACGGAGCTAACATTGTACACGTATTTTAAAAAATGAATATTATTAAGAAAATAACAAATTATGACAAATTTAAATATTATTTACCTAATTAGACGCAATTTGGACATATTAATTTTGGACTCTGCAATCAACGTCTTGCCAATCCTTTTTACACATTAGACATTGTAATATGTCTTCTTTGAGTTGTGATTTGAAATCTGACAAAATTCGGCTACCTCCATTAAAAGTAGACTCCAATGCTATAGTATTAAGCGATTATGTTAGTAGATCATGTACAATAATAGAAACAACGGACATGATCATTTGTGACATCTCGGCAAAGTAAATCTATAGTCATTGCATTAACTGGCTCTATCGTTCTAAGCATTTGATGACTTAAATATCTATGTAATTCTGCAAGCATTCCACTTTGACATATGCCCCGATTTACTTTAGTTGTATGAAGGAGACGTACTATAAGAACCTATATTAAATGTTTCATCCCTAACATTTGTATATAAATTCAATAATTTATGCTATTTTGGTTCAAAATGATTGGTAGAGAGGGGTGTGAAGGTTGCTCGTGCCCGTCTAACATCCGCACCAATCTTAGTGCATATAATTCATACGT